CATATGTCTCCCAGGAAACTCTGCACACATTTCAGCTCACCAGTTAAGATTTAATTAAATGGAATTGGAATGAAAACTCCTTCTTTACCAGTGATAAATCCAGCTGTTGGTTTCAGGCTGTGGAACTGCTGATCATGTTTTGCTCTCTCCTCCACAGTAATAGCCCAGATATCCAGGTTGCCTGGTGCAAAAGAGAGGCAGGAATGTCAGTAAGAAACATCATCTATAAAACACCCTCTTTTTTATTCTGAGTGTAATTATCTCATCTCACTCTGCATCTCTGAGAACAGCCCGGGCTGGGGGATCCTTTGCCTCCCAGAGCACACCCAGGTCAGGAACAAGAGAAAGAACAAACTGAAATCAGGGACACCTTCCATCAGCACAGCTTGCTCCAACCTGGCCAACCTGGACACTTCCAGGGATCCAGGGGCAGCCACAGCTTCTCTGCCCAACCTGTGCCAGGGCCTGCCCACCCTCCCAGCCAGCAATTCCTTCCCAATATCCCATCCAACCTTGCCCAGAGAAAAGCCCCAAAGAGATGCAACCTCCAAGTGGAACCAGACCAGTTAAACTGAAATGTATCTTCATAATCTTTCTGCAGATCAGTTGCAAAATTGAAATAAAATTGTGTCCCCAGTATCTGAGGGGGCCCCCAAGGAAGCCAGAGCAGGGCTCTGGATCAGGAACTGCAGTGACAGGACAAGGAGTGATGGATTCGAAGTGAAAGAGGGGAAATTTAGGTGAGATATTAGGAAGGAATTGCTGGCTGGGAGGGTGGGCAGGCCCTAGCACAGGTTGGACAGAGATGCTGTGGCTGCCCCTGGATCCCTGGAAGTGTCCCAGGCCAGGTTGGACGGGGCTTGGAGCACCCTGAGCTGGTGGAAGGTGTCCCTGCCCATGGCAGGGGGTGGGGCTGGATGGGCTTTGAGGTCCCTCCCAACCCAAGCCACTCTGTAATTGTTTGGTTTCATGTGAACTGCAAAAATAATGTCCCTGTTGCACTGTCAGGGCCCATCCTGGATTTTTCATTGCAATTCCAGGTGCTACAACTTCGCTGGGAAAAATGGAAAGGTAAAAATGCGTCACTTCTGTTCACATCTAAACAGGGCTGTGGGACAGCAAGGACAGAAACTGCCAGTGGTCACATCCAAAGGCATCTGCTGGGCTTCTCAGCAATTAAAAAGCCCAGGAATCCTCCCTCAGAGGAAAAGCAAATCCTCTTCTCAGGCACAAGTGGAGCAGAGGGAGGTGCTGCCCTCCTGCCAGGGGCTGGCTGTGCCCTGCAGGGACACACTGTGGGGCTGGGGGGGATCGATGCAGGACGGGGATCCTGCCCACTCTGCCATTGCTGGGATGTGCCTGAAACCAGCAGAGCCCACAGAAACCACCAGCTCAGAGAGACACACTCCCCACAAACACCCCAGGGAGAAAACACTCACAAAGGGACACATTTATGCTCGGTTTTTGCATATGGGAATAATTCAAACAGTAGAAAGCACTTACCCCCAAAAGGTGTTGGAAACTGAGCCATGGTTCTGTCACTTTTAGCTTGTTAAGAGATGCCTGGAAAAGAAAAAAAAAACATAAAGAGATATTCAAACAGTTACAGCATCTTCCATTTTCCATACATTTTTGTCTGATTAATTACTAAGCAAAAAAAAAAAAAAAAGAGGCAGTGAAGAAGCAGGATTGTGTCACTCCTGCCCACAGGAACTGTGACTGGCAGAGCTCAGTGTCTCATTCTTGCACTACCCTGTGCATCCAGGAGGGTATTTTCCTACATTTCAGTTCTGCTCCAAGAATGTCCTCAAAATCAATCTTTAGAATTTAATTAATTAATTTACTCAGTGATTTAATCATCAGTGATGGAGTGAAGGACAGAGCTCAGCGAGATCCCAATGGCTCTGCCCAGGGCTCCGTGACTCTCCTGATGTTCCAAGCCCTGCTCCTGCTCCAGAGGAGAATTGGCTCCATTTCCAGCTGTTAAACACAACCCCTCCAGCGATCTGGTTTTCATTGCTGGCAGCAAAGGCCCTGCCCTGCTCCGAGTTTGAAACAAAACACGTTCAGAAAATGCAGCTCCCCTTGCAGCCCCCCAGCTCAGGCAGCCAGAGGTGCCACGGCCCAGCAGTCCCTGGGTGGGAGCTGCTCTGCTCTGCACACAAAGCAGCCTCCCCAGCTCCAAACCTCATCTGCAGGAGAAGGAGGAACATTTTTCTTGCAGCACACAAAGGCTGACAGGAGCTGCCTGGGCCAGGGGACAATGCCCAGCACCGGGGCTGCTCCACAATGAGGAGAGGCCTCTTGTCCTCCCGGATTCCACTCGTGTTTTCCAGGCAACAGCAGAAAGGCAAAAGGGAACGGGATCAGGAGGAGAATGACTGAGGCTGCCTGAGCAGCAGCAGATATTTATCAATATCACCCAAAAGGCCATTCACTCGCACCAACAACTTCCTTTTGTCTGAATTGCTGTTTGCTCTCCTCCCCACCCCCCTCTCACACTTCCCACGTTCTCCTCTGGCTTCCAACTTGGGAACCTCTCCCGGATCCCCTCCCTGGTGGCCCTGCAGAAACCTCTGGCCCTGCTGCCAGCCAGGCTGCAGCAGCTGGAATGGGGAGGATGGGCTCACCACTGACTGTTCTCCCTCCTAATGCGGCCAAACACAGACCCCAAACCTTC